CACGCGTGTGGGCCTTGGTCTTGGCTTGCCTCACACCAATTTTATAAGCCTAATACTGAGTCAATGCTTATAGACCAACTTCCCAAAGGTTATTCTTCCGATGTGGGACAACAAAAGGTTTTAATATTTGTCATTCCCAACACTTTGTTCGATTGAAAAAATAAAAGCCCTTATGTAATGCCCCAGGCCTAGGATTCAGAATCCAGATTTGACCCTAATCGCCCTGACATTCTCCCTGCATCCCTTGCGACCCGACTGCACCACCGTCTAGTTCTGAGCTTACGTAGACTATCCCTACAGACCAACACGAGTCCTTTCAGCATACTTTGTCCTCACTACTCACATGCTTCCTAGTAAAGCAATTAGGATGTTATCTAGCAGAAGATTGCTCTTATGATTGAACCACCGAAAAGAAAGGTGCACCTTGTTATTATAGGTAGTGACTATCTATTCTTTTAAACCTTTCTTGACTATTCTTCTATGATCTCAAGATCTCTCTCATTCAAATGTGGTATCAGTTCATTCATGTATCTTCTTCTCTACTCGGGTGTCACATGCCCACCAGCTTCCGCTTTGGTTCGTCCCCAAACTACATCATATTGGTACCATCTGTAACGCCCCAAGCCCAGGATTCGGATTCGGATTCGAAATCCTGGTCTGAATCCAGGACCTGGGGCATTACACCAAGTGAACGAGATTGGAAAATCTATGTATTAGATATAAGGTTTTATTATTGGAAAACTCTATTTTTTTGCTAAAGTTTTTTCGATCTTAACTAATGTTCGACACGTGTGAATACTTGTAATAGTACATGTGCCCGTAGTAGAGAGAGTGTAATGATAAACAATATATACATGCTTCTTAATGTCTCATTGGCTTGTTTCTCTTTGTGATAATGATCGTAGACTGCTATGGAGAATTTAAAAACTTGGAGTATTTCAATGGAGTAATTTAGGCCTGTTATGGAGGATTTTAATGGAGTAAGTTAGGGTTGCTATGGAGGATTTTGAAAATTGGGATATGAATGATTCGTTGGAAGGAAATATTTTAGTGTAAATGTTGAATTTTTTTCCTTTTAAGTTTTTCTATCATGGCAATCATGTAATTTTTAATTTCAGCTCCTCTTGAACGAGCTAGAATCTATAACCAAAAAACACCACTCCAGCATAATTCGACTAAAAATAAATAAATTTTCTAGTTTGGTTAACACAACAAGTGGAGGCGAGAATTTAAACTCACCACCTTTTGATTATAAAACATTGAACTAAGCTCAGGTTAGCATTTTACTAATTGTTGTACTTTTTAGCTAGATTTTATCGGCCTAAATTTTAACCTAAAAACTAAACATAACATCCTACTAATAAAAATCTAAATAAAAGTTTAATCTAAGCCGTCATAAACTAAAATTAGGAAGAAAAAAAAACGAAATAAAGTTAAAATAATATAATTTTTTTAGACAATCTTTGTATAGAAGAAGAACTGCTGTTTGTTGACCAATTTAAGTTAAATTATTTAACCAATAAAATATATAGTTTTTAAAAAATAATATAATAGCAAATTTTGTTATAGAGAAAAAGCAATATCTTTAGCATTACTATACTAAAATATACAAGAGTTTAGAGAATCATTTTTCAATAATGCTGTAAATGTAATTTTTGAGATTTCATTAATCAATTATATAATTTATCTTTATAAACTATATTAAAGGGTGTGATAGTTGATACTTATTTTTAGATTTATTTGATATAATTATAAAACTCCAAACTTGCACCTGATATGAACAAATTGATAAATCCTATATATTTATTTTTCAGACTGACTGAGATTAAAAAAAACATAATTTTTTGTTATATAAAAAAAACATAGGAAAAATATATTTTTGGTCACTTGAGTTTGGCGTAGGTGTCAATTTGGTTCAAGTTTCAAAATGAACATTTTTGGTCCCTCAGATTTGATGTAGGTGTCAATTTGGTCATTAAGTTTCAAAATGAACATTTTTTATCCTAAGATTTGAGGTATGTGTCAATTTGGTACTTAAATCTCAAAAATAAATACTTTTGGTCCCTAAAATTTGAAAATTTGTTCTAAATGGTCCCTCAGTATTATTTGACCGTTGGTTGACTTAACGAAAAAATGACTTGGCAATTAACGAGTGGCTGGTTAGGAACCAAATTGGAAAGCAAATTAAAAAAATACAGTCACCAATTAATTGCCACATCATTTTTTCATCAAGTCAACTCATGGTAAAAAAATGGTTAGAGACCATTTAGAAAAAACTTTCAAACCTTATGGTCTAAAAGTATTCATTTTGAAACTTAAGAATCAAACATATTTCAAATTTTAGGGATTAAACTGATACCTACCCAAACCACATGGACAAACAAAAATGTATTTTTTCCAAAAACATATATCAAAATACATTAGATGAGAATTTTACAGTATAAAGGAAAGCAATATGATAGTTTTTTGGTTAAAAATTAACCGTGGTCCCTTAACTTTACTTTTATTGGAGTTACCTTAAACTTTAAGTCTTTAATAATTTAGTATTTATATCTTAAAATTTGTAATAATTTGATTTATAAACTTATGTTGCAATTTAATTTCTTTAGTTTAAATTTTGTAACGATTTAGTCTTTATATTGAAAAATATTATTAATGTTTTGTGGTATTTCTTATATATGTACATCAATAAATTAATGGAGACTAAATATGTTCATAAACTACAAAAACGAAATTATTCCATAATTAAAAAAAAAACAGACACATAATTTTAATGAGATTTTTTCACAATATATCAACTAAATTATCTCATACTATCCACGATTAAAAATTCGTTGATGTAATATTTTTTCTATATTTTTCATAAATTTAGAGACTATATAGTTATTCATTTGAAAGTAGAGAAACAAAATATTTGAAAGTAGCAAAACAAAATAATTATAAGTAAAAGTTTATGAACTAAATCCTAAATAGAGGGACAGAAAATATTTTGTAAACTATAATGTTTTGTTTTTAGGAGGACAAAAACGTAAAGTTGTGGAGGAGAAGGAATGGTGGCCTCACGTGAGTTTTATGGGTGAGAGAGAGGCGGCAATATAAATTTATAAAATTATTTTAGAGGCACTCCTCGTCCCAGGCGTACGATAAAAATCAAAATTGTTCCTTCCACGCACGCGCAATGCGTTCCGAAATTGCAGAGAATCACATCCAAACGGCATGTTTGGGTACATGCATGCATGTACATAATGCTCATGCCCCCTCTACCCATGCATGCACATCCAATATTCATTTTTTCTTTTTTTTTTTAATAACAATATTCATTTTTTCTTAGCACGTGTGTGTATATATATTTTTTAATTAATTATCTTAATAATTATTTTTTTAGTAAAACATGATGAGGGATAAGGAATTCGAACTCATGATCTTCTGGTTGAACATAAATGTCTTAACTCGTTGAACTATGTTCAGATTGACAATAAATTAAGATATATTCATTTTTCAAAAAGGAAAAAAAGATACGGTAAATTATAACCTTAATATAAGCCCGACCCAATTATTAATGGAACCACAATTTTTCATTCTAAGTTATAAAATTTTGTGATTGATTTAGATTTCTTTTTTCTCGGTAAAATTTTCAAACTCGTTTACTATATTTAAAAATACATATTTATTTAATATCTTTAATGTAGAAAATTAAACATTCTACCTATATTTACATATTTATATTATGCTGCTTTTAAAATGTCTCCACGCATGATAGAGAGAAATATCTCTCGTCTTTTGATTGGTGTTTCAAATTTTAAATGAATTTTTTTATTTAACTTCAAAATGATGAATGCAAACATCAGATTAGCTTAATAATAATTAGTAATTATTTTTTACTAAACGAAGATTTGACCGAGTGGTATGCTTTTATCATTGAACTTAAATATCAAATAAACATTTTAAAGATCAAGCCCACACCAGATAATAAAAATGGTACCTCTTGTCTTCAACTATCTCTATTCAGGATCACCTTGATTTTTCTTTTCCAATTTCAAAGATAGAAACAAATCCGTAAATATTAACATTGAAAAATCGCGTTCCTTAAAACAAAATAAAAATCAACAAAATTTGGGAGCGATTAGGATTTTATTCAATTTTTAGTAGTTTCATACTTTATTATTTTATTTTGGTGCAGCCTTGATTTATTTTGTATTTTTAATATGTTTATTGTAATATATATATATATATATATATATATATATATATATATATATTAATGAATTGTATTTATTTTGATATGATGTACTCTTCAAAAGTGACCATTTTAATTTCAATTGGCAAATTTTTAATTCAAAATGTATATACAATAGAAAATTTCTCTACAAAGTTATAGCTACATTTTAAAAAAATTAACGAGTAGGATATCATACTAAAATTTTTATCAAGATAAATGAGATGAAAATAAATGGACCAAATTAATAACTTTTTTTTAGTTCATAAATGAGAAAATGAGAAGCAACGTTTTGAAAGGATAAGAATTAAGATAGGATAAGAATTAAGATGAAGAAAAATTAAAAAATATAAGGATAAAAGTAGATATTTTAAAAGCAAATCACTAAAATGAAAAAAAAAAGTATTTAAACCTTACATTTTTTTTTTCTAGTAAGTAATAACCATGTCTTTTATCACATTATTTTAGAAAACAAATAGAGTAATCCCAGTCATTATATTTTAGAATTCATTATTTGTAAATTAAAGAAACAATTAAAATGAGAAAAATAGGTCAGCTATATGAAATATGTGGCCTACCTACACTGTACCGTACACCGAGTCACAGCAAATCGCCCCCAACACCAAGAAAATTGGTTCTCAACGTTGGGAAAATTTCTTATTTCAGTTTTTCTGAGACTCCAAGAACACCAAATTATTATTCAAAAATATTATTAATATTTAATATTATATTATATTAGACAAAAAAAAAAAAAAGAGATTTAGATTTGGCAGTAGCCCTGGAAGAGAAGAATAGGGAAATTCAATTGTGGAGACGTTTGTTTGTTTGTTTGATTTTCAGTGTCAAAGAAAACCAAGACGAAAAATTTTTCACATTCGCCGTCTCCTCTCCTTCTCCAGGCTTCTCCACGTTCGCTTCCTCTTCTCTCTCCCGCCGTTTCTCGCTGCCGTTCTCCATTCTCTCCGCCACCGCCACCGCCACCGCACGGTGGTTGAAGCCAAACGAACCCAACAAACAGACAAAAACCCTATTCGCTGTTCCGAACAACCCAAGCCTCATTTTCTCTCATTCCAATCCATTTCCATCTCTCTCTCTCTCCTCCGCCGCTTTCTTTCTTCACAGTCTGAAACTCTTTCTCTATCTCTCTTGTTCTTGCCCTCTTCATACGCATTTTCTTGCTTTGGTTTGGGATATACAGCAACCACTGGGGGCAGTTATTGAGGCAGTTACGCCTTCTGGGGTTCGTCAATCAGTCTGGGTAGGGTTAGTTCTTCGTCGTATATCTCGCTTTCTTCATATTTCTCCCAGGTTATATTATTTATCGCTTGTGTATTCTCTTGCTGTTCAGACCTCCGCGGGAGTTTTCCGGAGGCTGCAAATTGGCTTTAGGGTTTCTGATTTTTTTTTTCCTTGCACATTCAATCGGAGTTTGGATTCAGGTTTTTTCAATTTCTTTTACCCTTAGGGTTTTCCTTTTTCCTGATCGAACTGTTTTTGACGGGTACAATCTTCTGTCTTGGAATTGCTCGCCTCACTTTATGATTCCTGAGTTTTGCCTTTCTTTATATTTCTGCATCTCAATCGATTCCCTCAAAGACGAGGGTTTTCCGAGCGTGTTTTGCTGACTGAATCTACCCTCAATCGAACATGGAAGCTTAGAGAGACACTGAGGCTCTTTCTCTTACCATTCTTTGTAACTGAACCGCTTCCCCTTATCCTTGCTATCTCCCCTGTTTTCATCCTCTGATTCCATACCCGTACGAGAATTAGGTTATTTTGATTTTGCTCATAAGATAAGATAAATCCCGTTCAGAATGCGTTCAGCTTGTAGCCAAATTGGCAGCTACTTGCTTGAATATCCGTGTTTGTGAAGTAGAATAATTGTAGTGGATAAACTCTTAGTGGCATTTAGGACAAAAGTTTTGAGAAGTATCCTCTGGGTTCATTCCCGTGCTTGAGTTCGTATCTTTGAAGCAATTCATTGCACATGTCAATCATTGCTGGAACCCCGGATATGCCACTAAGTTGATGAAAACACATATGGTTTGTAGCCGTGAATTGCATAGTCAGGGATGCCTGTGAAGGTTCATCCAACGCAAAATAGAGGTTAGACATTTGAAATAAAGAAGTACAGGTTAGGGTTTTATACATTCCTCTATATAAGGAATACGATTTTGGAAATTAGCGGTGGTAAAGAAGGCAGAAGTGTTTTTTACTTCTGATATTTTGATCATGTTCAGCATTCCTTATGGAAAGAAGTGAACCCACATTAGTGCCAGAATGGTTGAGAAGTACTGGAAGCGTTACTGGTGGGGGCAATTCAAACCACCATTTCCCGTTGTCTTCTTCCCACTCGGGTACTAATATTTTATTATTGCATGCTTTCATCAACGATGCTCTCTTTCTGCTTACGTGCCTCTGTTCTGATTTTGAACACCTTTTAATTGTATATCCTGTGTTGTAGATGTGTCCTCTCTAGCTCAATCGAGAAATAGAACTTCCAAGACCATTGGTGATTTTGATACTTCACGCTCTGCTTTTCTGGATCGGTCATCTTCATCGAATTCAAGGAGAAGTTCGAGCAATGGTTCTGCTAAACATGCATATAGTAGTTTTAACAGGGGTCACCGTGATAAGGATCGTGAGAAAGAAAAGGATAGGTTAAGCTTTGGGGATCATTGGGACCGTGATTCTTCTGACCCTCTGGGAAAGATCCTTTCCAATAGAATTGATAAAGATGCTTTGCGGCGCTCTCATTCAATGGTATCCAGGAAGCAAGGTGAGCTGTTTCACCGAAGAATTGCGACAGATCCAAAAATTGGTGTCAGCAGCAGTCTCAACAATGGCACTGGAATGCCTTCTGGAACTAGTGTCGGTAGTAGCATTCAGAAAGCTGTATTTGAAAAGGATTTCCCTTCACTGGGATCTGAAGAAAAGCAAGGAACATCAGATATTGGAAGAGTTTCATCTCCTGGTTTGAGCTCACCAGTACAGAGCTTGCCTATTGGGAATTCAGCCTTAATTGGTGGAGAGGGATGGACATCTGCTCTTGCTGAGGTTCCCAATATTATTGGAAGCAGCACAGGATCATCGTCATTTCAACAAACTGTTCCTGCTATATCAGGGGCAGGGCTGCTGAGTGTGACAGCTGGGCTTAATATGGCTGAGGCATTGGTGCAGGCTCCATCTCGAGCTCGTGCTGTTCCTCAGGTATCTGAGGTACTTTCCTATACCTTCTTCTGTTGTAAATTATGTACTCCATTTGATCTAAAGTTCGTCTTTCTTTACCCCTCTTGTAGTTATTCGTCAAGACCCAAAGGCTTGAGGAATTGGCTATTAAACAGTCCAGGCAATTAATACCAGTAACGCCTTCCATGCCAAAAGCTATGGTAATTGGGGCTAATGCAATTTTAGAATCTTTGTTGTATAGATTTGTTCCTGCTCCTTTTTAGTTTAACTAATTTTGGTGCCATTATTTTGTGGATTTGAAAACGAAAAATATTGATTCATGAAATATAAAAGAGAATTGAGAATCATAATTACTTGGTATCTTGACAACTTATATCAATCTCTGATGTCAGTTAGGATTGGCACTCTTCTTATAGCTGCATTGTGCTGTAGTCTTATGTACTTAGGATGTACGTATAATTATAGTCATTTTTGGGTAGTTTATACTCAAACTATGCAATGAAGATACTAGTAATATTTTTTTGACATTTTCTGTGCCCCGAGTGTCTGACAAACATTTTAAGAACTACAGTAATTTTTTTTGGAAAGTTTGTTATTCAAAGATTCTCTCTTCAACCTACCCATCGACTAAGAGAATACGTAGGTTGTATGTTAGATGGCAGAAGTTATAACATTTGCTAGAAGTTTATGGTTCAAAGTCATTTACTATGTGCTAGATAACAGTGCTACTTCCCCCCATATATTATGAGAGACTCAATTTTTACGCTGTTTTCTTGCTTGATCACTTTTTGGAAACTCATAAGAAGTAGATGCTAGGAAAGATATAACATGATGTTTTGGGGTCCACTTGTATAGTTTTCTTGTACGTGATTTTCCAGTTTGACTATGCAGGCTCAATTATCATTTGTTAATCACTTTTTATTTTCTCTCTCAAGTGCGAGGAAGGGCAGTAGTAGATTAAAAATGCTTTAAGGGAAGTGTAAAATTTCTATATTAAAGTCCTTCATTTGGTTTAGCTGTGGCCAATAGCCGTGGCCAATATATCACCGATGCGGCTAGCCGCTAGTATCCTCTGTTAATGTGTATATTTGGTAGGCAAGTTTTTTTTATTGTGCCTGAAAGATTTGTTAAGCTGTTATCTGACTGTCAACTCCTCTTCCAATATTGTTGTTATAACTTTTCTGAGCATACCTATTCTGGAAGGTTCTGATTTGTTCTTTTTGTTTTTGAAGCTGATATCAAATATTGTTGTGTTTCAGTATGGTAATGTAAAAAACTTGTTTAGCAATATAACTTTCAAATAGTTTTCAGGACAAAAAAAGGCCGTGGACAAGAAATATTATTTTTTTACTTTCATTGTGTTTTATTTTACGTTTTCTAAATGAACTATTCACATCTGATCATTATTATTTTAAACATATAACTTAATTTAAATATGTTAATTTTTATATTAATATGCAAAAGAAATAAATGAAAACACAAGAACCTAATATATCTTTCCAAATAGTTTTAAAAGATTTGTTTATCAAAACAATTGTTATAAAATACATCCAAACTGTTCTCAGCTCTTGTTATCTAGAATATATTTAGTCTTTACGATTTGATAATCCTCTATATCCTGGTAAATTTTTACAATAAAATATTGATTTTAGTAGTCTTCATTTCAGCATTAAATGTTATCTAGGAATACATATTTCTCATAATTATGTGTATCTGCCAATCTTCTGTTTTTCCCCTTTAGATGATCGTTGGCTTATTTCTTTGATAGGTGCTTAATTCTTCTGATAAATCAAAGCCCAAGCTGGCATCAAGAACCGGAGAACTTAATGTAACCATCAAGGGTGGACAGCCACAGCCCTTGCCAGTCCATCATACCAACCAAACTCGTGGTGGACATGTCAAGTCTGACGCTCAAAAGAGTTCTCATGGGAAGTTTCTTGTTCTCAAACCACGAGAAAATGGTGTCTCCCTTGCTGTAAAGGATGTCCCAAGTCCAACTAGTAATGCAAACAACATGGCAGCAAACAGCCAGTTCGCTCTTGCACCTTCAGTTCCACATGCTCCTTTGAGAAGCCCAAACAATTCAAATGTTTCCTCTGTGGAGCGCAAGATTGCTAGCTTGGATCTCAAATCCGGATCAACTTTGGAAAAAAGACCATCCTTATCACAAGTCCAGAGTCGGAATGATTTCTTTAACCTCATTAAGAAGAAAACTCCAAAGAGTTCTTCTGCTATTCTCTCAGATTCATGCCCTGCTGTGAAATCTCCTACAATTGGCCAATCTAATGAACTAACAAGGGAAGAAATCAACATTCCTGCAAGTCCTCGTGTTGTTGAAAATGGTGCTGTGGAGACTAGAAATGGCGATAGTTCTGAAGAGGTTCAGGCATCTTGTGACAGTGGTGAAAAACTTGCGAGCCACGTTGGTGCAGAATCTTTAGATGAAGAGGAGGCTGCTTTTCTTCGTTCTCTTGGATGGGATGAGAGCTATGGTGAAGACGAAGGCCTTACTGAAGAAGAGATCAATTCTTTCTATGAGGAGGTAAACGAATACTTCTTGATATGATGTTTCACTACCTCTATTGCTTTAACTAATCCCCGCTGCAATATTTTTCAAAGATTGTTCTTGTTTATATTAGCTGACGAAGTTGTAATGGTATGTTATAATTATAGTTGCAGTATATGAACTTGAAGCCACCTACAAAAATGGTCCGGTGCATACAGCCAAAGATATTTGTGCCGTCTGAATCTCATGAGGATAGCAAGGATGGAGCCGGTTCTGAATTGAGCTCATCTGACTCAGAAGCCTGAATTGCCTTTTTTCACCCATGAGAAGTTCTAGTTCACAATTTTTAATGGCAGTGGGGTTATTTTTTTTTCTTATTTTTCTTTTCCTTCTTTTTGTTTTCGTGGTTTTAAAGAAATGCTGATGAGAGTTGGGTTGGAAGAAGAGGTGGATGTTAATTGAAACACTGAACAGTGCAAATAGTGCAATAAGTTACAGTTGCCCAAATCCTGCCTACCTTTTACAGCGGGAGTTTTTGCGGTTTTTAAGGGCAGTTGCAAAGGTTCGGCAGGCGCATATTTTGTCTGCTCTGAAAGATGTGGTGAAAGTTGCATCTTTTGGTTCGTTTTGGTCCTTTTGTTCTCTTACTTTTTGAAGAGGTTTTGATTCTGGAAGTTGCTAGAAAGGAAAAAAAAAAACAAGAAAAGAAAGGGTTACTGCTTTGGAGAAAAATGGAAAAGGAAAGAGAGATGAAAAGTTTCTATCCTAGTTTTAGCATCCATTGATTTATTGTTTGAGATGTTACTTTTTTACAGTTGGGTAGCGTAGCCTTTGACATTGAATTGCACTGATTGTGATTACACATGAATAAGAGGATTAAATTTAGAGACTAATTGTCCGGTACCACTCTATTCACCCAATCATTAATATTTTGTTTAAAGAAATATAGTATATTTTTTTCTTTTGCAAATTTGTTATTTTGGCCTTTTTCTTCTCCAAATTCAAATATTATTAAATAATATTCACCTTTCTTACGGTATGGTCTGGTGTTATAGCAAGTAATTAGAGTTAAAGATGGAATGTGGACTAATTCATGTTTTTAAAAATTCTCATTGCAAGCAACTGGTTACTTTGAGGTCGTTTTCCAAAGCACGTATTGCATTCGGCACCCCTTAAGAATCTACTGGGAAAAGATTGCCATTGATTTTTATATATTTTTTTTCCAGCAAATGGTTGCTTCTTGTGATCAATTCGTCACTTTCTCAGCTGCTATGCCGGCTGTAGTTTATCAAATAGAAACCCCTCCACTTACTAAGCAATCCTTTGGATTCTTCAAATTCATTAAGGCATCCACTACAGCCCCTCGGGACCGTAATTTGTCCCTTTTCATCTAAATTGTTTCCATTTATTCTTCTTTTCAAGATATGAACAAAGTGCGACAAGGCCGAAATGGCAGTAACCTTGAAAATTTGGCTCGCTTATAATTGAATTCGTAAAGATATGTAGATATGGTTTGAGCTGACGAATAACACAACATTTACAAGATGTAAAAGTAAAGGGAGACCTTGTGGTTCAGTTCTAATGAAACATGCACAAATGACTCGCCAATGCAGCTCTACACAGTTGGTAACTCTCTTCAGCCTCTGACGTCCAAGTTCATTGATTCTCTCCAACTTATTCCGAGTGAGAAGTCCAGTAGATCAACCCACTGCAACAAACACTACTTCAGGAAAACAGATCGTAGAAACAGGCTAACATTATAGGAAACTCCTCGGAAAAACATTATGGTATAGTAAGTTAGCCTTTGCTATAAAGAACATCACTAGTAAGTTAGCCTAGTGATGAAACCCCTGAATTATCTAATTTTTTCCAGAGAGCAGTTTCAAGCAACAAAGAACAGTTTTTTCTCAAAAACATATATTGATATAGTATTAGAACACTAAAGAGAAAAGGTGATTTAAAATGTTCCACGTAGATTGAGGAAGGGTGGAATATAGAAGTTATTTTATATGAATCATACTCAGAAATCAAGAGAAACAACATACTGAAAGTTTATCCCAACAACTCTTCTTTAGACTTTAACAGAGTTGCCTTGCAGAATTTTTTTTGGATAAGAGCCTTGCAGAATTAATTCAACGGAGTTGAGGATAAAAAGTTATCGCATGGTTGTTGGCACAGATCCAAATAAAAGACAAAAAGGAAAAATCAGAATTAAGATAATCATTGAGAGGAAGGACCATTTACCTAACCAACACAAACACACACTGTAATACTCCCGCAACTCCCGTCCACACTGATGGCCCAGTTTTTACTATTGAATCTTGTATCAAGAGTCCCACTGATGCTGCTAATGAAACGAATGATACCACATAAGCGAAGAAGAGCCAAAGCTTCAATCTGTTGTTAATGGAAATATCAGCACTGTTAATTACAACAATATACTTGCACTACATCAACACATCAAATTCTCAATGTTATCACAGGATTCATTAATTTTCCTTTGCTTATAGGTTTAAAACTTGATAAACAAAGGTTGATTTCCATGATGTCCCGACGTATCAATTCATAGCCAACATATCAATTCATCATGTCCTGACATGAACCGATATTGTATTCTAGTAGGAATGTGGAAGGCATATAAAATTTCTCTTTAAGAAAAATGAACAACAGATTTTGTCCTCAACAAGCAGATATGCAGAATCTTTACTACTGGGCTGTGAGCACAGTAGACGTCCATGATTTATGTTGCCATTAACATATAATGAAAAAAAAAATCCTAATTCCCTTCACGTTTCATTATCCTTTGTACCCCCCTCAATCAGTAAAGTTGACTCTTGAGACTCCTAGTGATTATCGTCCCTAAATCACAGCGGTTAAAACATATGGAGCAAGCCGCAATTTTATGTCGTTACCTTGCTCTAATTGTTATTTTCTCCATTGATCAGTAAATATGTGCACAATTCTTTTAATCCGTGTGCGTTTGATCCAGCTCGTGAGACAACTGTCCAACCCTACCATACATTAGGTTGCAAAAATAATTCATTGGATATTAAATCCTAAATAGTTGTATAATTAATGTTACCGTTGATCAATAGGTCTTCCATACAGATTTTAATTCCACAATAACCACCTTAAGAACTCCTTTTTTTTGTGGGTTCTAATGAAGCTCGTAGAAGCTAGGTTTCCACTAGCAAGTCGCTAGTGATTTTATTCCCAAGCAAGTATTGCAACTACTGAAGGTGTAAGGAATGGTTTTCAATGCATCTTAATCCTGACATAGCAACCCAAAAACATTTCTTAGCTCTAGAACATTATAACCTCAAATACACCTTTTTCTTATGTTTGTCACTGTCAGACCTCCACCAGCGTTTACTATCACTTGGACCATTCAATCAAGAAATTATGATCGATCTCTTCATTTCTGCTGGTCTATGCAGTTCACACATACACATTTTTCTTTCAACTCTCTCTCTCTATATATATACCACTAGACATGTGCATTACACCCTACACAACCTCACTCTTCCCCCTTAGTAGTTTCTCCTCTTGACAACCCACTTAATCGGAAAGGATATTAAAAAGGGATTTACAGAATTGGCTAACAGGACGTTCTGATAATAATCATCACAGTAGAAATGCTGCTCCCATGAAAAAAAAGGCGTAAAAGTCTCGGTGCAGATATCATATCACATATGCAAATTACTCTTACTTTAAACACAGACATTGACAGTGTTCAACTTTTGTTGCCTATTTGACTTTTCTCCTCCTTTATGCGCTAATAACGGACAGCTAACGAACAATTCATTCGTTGCTCGATTCCAAGCTTCGTGATGAGTGTTTCGACCATGCCCCTGTAACTTCTATTGCATGCAAGCAAATTTGGGCTCAAAGTGCATTCGATAATCTAAAAATGTAAATTAATACCCGAATGTATGAGTTCATAAGATCCTAACACATCCAAGGAGAATAATGCTAGCAAGAAACTAAACCACATTGCACATTAACTTGTCGAAGAAGGACGCTATGAAATTGCATTCAATCAAATCGAATGATAAAGCAAGAGGGCCGCTATATGATCGGTGACGGAATTGAACAATAGAGAAAAATAGGAAAGCAGACAACACATTCATAAAATACTCGCCTCCATTCGCCTTCCTCGTACGGAGAATAATCGATATCTTCTTTCCGAACGCAATTGAACATGAGAGCCGCGAAAGAGGCAAAAATACCTGCAACGCCAATACCGGAGGCACGCCGTCAAAAACCCTAAGCGCGAATTACACGGAGCTTGGAGTAGTAAATGTGTAAGAATAAAGAACCTGGGAGGTAGTGGACGAAGGAGACCGGAACAGAACTGCAGACGACGGCGTCAACCCAAAACCACCATCCGGCGCCGAACACGGCACCGGCGACGCCTGGGCCGAAGATTGACCACAGTTCCGCCAAATCCATTTGGGGTTTCTTCGTTTTGCCTCCTCCTTGCGCTTGCGGGTCGAGACAGCTTGATTTGGAGAGGCAACTGTGAACTTAATAATGATCTCACAGTTCAGACTCT